CACCTAAACATGAAAATTAGCAGAACTTTAAAGAGGACACATTTATGTTGGGTGAGCAACAACTTTGCCTTTGCGTAGAAAGTCAGTAATTCTATTGCCTCACATTGAGAACAAACTGTGTACTCAATGTGTAGTTTCGTGTGTGTGTGAGCAACTAATTCTACTTTGTATAAGGTTCTCTTTTCAAAAAAGAATTTAACATACCTCAGTATATACATATTTCAATATTTAAATATACAAATTTAAACATACATACACATACTAAATACTGATAGATGACATTACATTTTAAACCTTAGTTTTTAAAATATAATTTCTCTTAAAAAACTTATTATAAGACAGTTGATTTTTACCATCATGATTTAAATGTTATAATCTAATGCCCAGAGCTTGGTTTCTAATGCCACTCTCCAATGAAAGGAACAAGGACTTTTTGGGAAAATGGCTGATTCCAAGGCGAGGGCAGGGAAAATACGAGATAAGCCTAGAATATCATGTGGGGCCAGAAATTAAGAAAGTGCTTGAAGAATGTTGGGGAAATATCAAGACACAGGGGTCAACATAGAGGGACTCCCAAATCTTGGGCAATTTGGGCAACCAAGTAATGCTACTAATGGAATAATAATAATAATGCTATAAGATGAAATTGGAATCCCCAAGTCCATGATGGCATAAACAACTTAATAAATAAATTAATGGGGAGAAGGGAAAGCTCTTCATTATAATAACATTCCAACTAATAAACTAAGAAGGAATGCTGCTAATAGGAAAACCAACATTTGACAAACACCTCAGTAATAATTATTTCAGGCAAGAATCATCGATGCTAAAATTAGTGGGTGGAAGTTTGATGAGGAAGTGTACTTACGTAGTCTCAAAGTATCATTTCTCATAATCTTTATTAATTACAAAGAGAAAATAGTATATTGTGAAGAAACCTGGCAGACACTGCCTTAACTGAGTAATCCAAATTAACATCAGTAATGAGACAAATTGGCCGTATGTGCCTCCTAACATGAAGCACCATTAAGGACAAACCATCACGGCTGTTGTATTTCTGGCCCAAAATGGAATGCCTGAAATTTTGTGATGTAACATTGGACAAACCCAAATTGAGGGAAATTCTACAGAAAAACTCGCCAGTGCCCTTTAACAATGTCAAAGTCACAAAGACTGAGGAACTGCTCCGAGTGAAGGAGACTGGTTCAGGAAAAGGACATTAATGAGACAATTGGTGAAATTTAAGTAAGGGTTCTAGATTAGTTGATGCTGCTATCTCAATGTTAATTTCCTGACTTTGATCATTGTAGTGGGTGTGGTTGTATCGCGTGTAGCACTGGGGAAGGGTATGCTGGAAACTGAGAGAGAGAAAGCAAGAAGAAATAGGGCAGTGGAAGAATCAGGAAGGTGGTGTCCTAGAAGCCAAAGAAACACAGAGACATTCAAGAACAAAGAGATAAATAGTATCAAATGTAATAGAAAGGACAGTATAGGACAATATAAGGCCAAAAATAGTGTCCATTGGATTTGGCAAGAAATCATTCAATGGTGCTCTTTGTCAAAAATGTTTCAGTACAGTGGTGGGTGCAGAAGATAGGCTGCACTGAGCTTGCTGAGGAGGAGATGGGAAGTGAGAAAGTGGACGGAGCTAGGATGGAGAGACTCCTCACCTCTGGGCCTGGAGGAAGGAGGCCAAGAAGCAGGGACTGTAGATGTGGATGGTAGGAACTGATGTGGTTCAGGCCTGACTCCTTCACCTTCTTCATAAGTGAATGGGTTGAGTCTACATTCTGGAGTGAATGTGCTGGGGTTGAATGGGGATGAATGTCCAGAACATTACTGAGGGGAGTAAGGGGGAGCTGGCCAAGGACTTGTAATGAATTGTGGAGGGGTGTTTAGGGCCCAGTTGAGGTTTGAGACCACGAATTGGTAGAGGCACCAGTGCCCATGGTTGTGGGATTTTCTGCAGCAGCCCTCTGCAGCCTAGGAGGGGTGGACAATGCAGGGTGTAGGCTGAGCTGGGCTGTGGCTTTACCATCTTGGCAGAGCACAATTAGAAGGGTACAATGGACTTCTGGCAGTGGTAAGAGAGTGGTTCAGCTGGGATCCAAACTGAAGAAGGGATGGAAGGAAAGCCAGGAGCAGGGGATAGACCGTGGAGCTGGAGGTCTCCCATGAGTCAGAAGCACAGTTATGCTAGGCAGGGTGGCCAAAGAGAACCGGAGAGGAAGAAAACTGGTCAGAGATTGGGAGACTGCCACTGAAGAACTGCCATCAGCAGCATTGGAAAGCATCCCCACCCCATACCACTGTAGGGGGGCTCTACACTCCAGCTTGCCCAAGACAGTCCAGCTTATGTGTTACCCCAGCATCTTGTACAATTTAGCATTTGTCCCAGATTTTTCATTTTCCCACAAAGTGTAAGTATTAATAGCTGAATCGATATAAGCTAGGATGGGTCGGTTGGACCACCCCCTTTTAATTTTCAGCTTCTGCCTTGGTCTCATCTACTAGCTTGTGAGATGCATATGCAGAGAAACAAATTCTCACCTTTTTTTTCCTTCAAGTTCTGACTTTAACAGAGAGTTAAACCTTAAGGACAACCGATGATAACCCTTCTCCCTTTTCCTAATCTTTTCCAAATACAATGTAACTAACACCTCCCTCTCAAGGACAGCATGCTGGGTATTCACTGATAACAAAGCAAGTGCACTCAGATACTAGGAGTTAGAGACAACCCACTCATTCTTGTCCTGGGTGGGGGTGGGGGTAGTGGTCACCACTGTATCCCTTGTTGGACATTGGTTGTGCCAGCTGAGTGTGCCCATCCCGAAGTCTGCAAGATACATGAAACTGCTAGGCCACCACTCAGTAGGCCAGTGGACGTACAGAATTACACATTTACATGTACATAAAATAAATTCAGGAAATAGAGGCAGAAATATGTCCTAACACAGAAGATAATACAGCGAGTAATTTGAATCATCTTGGTACAATGGTTATGGCGTTCATTATATGGTACAAATCTGCAATCCTTCTTTTTTTAAAACAAAATTTGCAATCCACCCTTTCAGCATGAGTGCAAAAACTAAAGAGCATAGCTAATGAAAAATGAAATACTGAATTTGTTATTCAAGAAAATTGATCATGAATGTGTAACATGAACAAAACATTTGTCGATAAGTATCCACATGCTCGTGGGGCACATTGATATTACTGACCACATGAAAACCAGAAGACATAAGTCTGCGGAGACAGCATTGTCATCCTACCTCAAAAGTAGCTCTATTAGCAGGAGAACTTCACAAGCAGTTAGATGATGTCAGTTTTATATTGATATCGTGAGATGATTCAAATAGAAAATCAGTTATATTAGTCAGGGTTTTCCTGAGTAACAGAACTAACAGGGTGTGTGTGTGTGTGTGTGTGTGTGTGTGTGTGTGTGTGTGTGTGTGTGTGTAGAGAGAGAAGGGAGAGAGAAATTGATTTTAAGGAATTGGCTTACGATTGTGGAGACCTGGTGAGTTCAAAATCTGATGTGGAAGACCGGCAGGCCAGGCTGGAGACTCAGGGAGGAGCTGCGGTTCCCGTCCAAAGGCTGACTGAATTCCTTCTTGCTTACTGGGGAGGTCAGCCTTTGTTCTATTCAGACCTTCAAATGATTGGATCTCACATTAGGGAAGGTAATCTGCTTTACTCAAAGTCCATTGATTTAAATGTTAATCTCATCCAAAAAAACACCTTCACAGAAACATCCAGAATAATGTTTGACCAAATATCTGGGCACCATGGCCCAGCCGGGTTGGCACATAAACTTAACCATCACATTAGTTAAATTCCAATAATGGTTCAATTTTTCATCCAATTCATGGAATCAGAGTAAAGCTAATGGAAGTTTATTCTGATGAAGGAGAAACATGTGACATTGAGAAAGCTACTGAAAATTCAGTTTAAAAATTCAACATTTAGGATAAGTATTTTTCCGGTGATAATTTTTTTCATAGAAATAGGAATTTTGGTGCGCCACAGCATCATGGTAAAAACAAGGTTTTTACTAAATAAAGAAATGTGTGAAGCAGAATTATACTCAGAATTGGTTGTGGTACAGAAATAATTCCTCCTTATGTCCACACAAGTAGAAAAGCAGCAGTGGAGCAGGGGACTTTTGGGTTCTATCCATGCTTTCTTTATTCTTCATGAAGATATTCTAGTAAAGAATGGTGGCATACTTAGTAACTGACACCCAGAGTAGATAATTTTGTAATTTTTTAAATTACAAAATTATTTTGTCTGACAGTATTATTTTCTGTAATCATAACCTTGATTTCATAATCTTGATTTCATCTTTAGTTTTAAAACAATGAAAGTTTAAAAGACCAAATTTCAATTTTAAATGTATTATCCAAAATCAGTAAAATATTTCATATATGAACCAGATTTTCACTTACCAATAAAAAGTATTATGTCTCACAGATTGCACTCTGTTTGCCATTTTAAATTTTAAACACATGTAAAAACTCCAAGTTGTCACATAGAATGACAGGGTTGAAATAATGACTGTTTCTTTGTCTCTGTGGTAACTGGGCGATCACCATTTATTTCAAATCTCTGTTAAAATACAGGAGAATGTGGCACCAGAGGGGATGGAGAAAGAAACTGTAAGCCAAAAGCAAGCTGGAAGGGTTCTGAAGTGTTGGGTACCTAATTTAGAAACAAATGTGGGTGGCTGAGTCTGCATGTGTCAGGGGCCAAATGTATAACCGAAAGTTCTCTAAATTAACTTCCCAGTGAAACACAATGTTTGTTAAAAGGATAAGTATTAAAAATGCTGATGTGAACTTCAGTCTATAGCCAGTGGAAATGCACTCAGGTTCACCAAAAGATATGTAAAAAAAATGTTCATAGTGGCACTATTTTTCAGATAAAGAGACAGACTCAGAGTACAATCACTTGCCCAGTTTCCCAAATCTCCTACCATCTCATATTCCTCAGTGGCCTTAATGGAGGCCACCACCTATGCGCTGGGCACTGTGGTGGGTGCTGCCGCTACTCAGAGTACGTTAGGAACGGAACAACTGGCGTTTGCTTACTCGACCTATGGGGGAAGATTTTTTTCCCCTGGTTCTATACTGGGAATTGTGGAGGCAAGAATAAAGATTAGTAATAGCGATAGTTTCCACTTACTGATTGCGCATGTCCTAAGTGCTATACCATATATGTACATATGCACACACCATATACGTATGTATCACCTCCTTTAATCCTCACAACGATCCTTGTTAATATCCTCATTCTACTGAGATGAAAAAAGAGAAGCTCAGTGAGTCTGCTTTGCACAAGGTCACAGAGCAGCTAAATGTTCCCCTCGGATTTGCACCCTGATCTGGCTGACTCTAGGGCTTTAGGTCTCAACTCTTACATCCAGTTAAAGATTTTTGTGAGAACTGGGCCACGAGTTAGGAAAATGGAAGCCGCAATGCAGTCCAAGGTCTTGAGAAGGGGACGCTGGGCGAGAGGAACCACGTGGTGACAGGAACCTGAAAAGCCGGCGCCCAGTTTAGGGCCACTGAGAAGGGCGGGCGGCGACAGGTCTGGGAATTTGGGAGCCGTCTGGATGGGAAACTGAGGGAAAGGGGGATAGAGGGTGCGCAGGAGTCTCGGCTTCTTCGGGAAGAAAATTCCCACGGCCACCTCGGGAGCGTGGAAACCCGCGGTCGCCCACCGAGGCGCGCCGGCGGCCTGTGGGCGGGGCCGCGGGGCGGGGCGGGGCGG